TGGGTGTGGGTGTGGGTGTGGGTGTGGGTGTGGGTGTGGGTGTGAGTATGGGTGTGGGTGGGTGTGGGTGTGGGTGTGGGTGTGGTTTAAACGAAGAAACCCACCCGCACCTCTACCCTCACACCCAGACCCACACCCCACAGCCACACCCGCAATTATCGACTGGTAAAGATAAACGAAAAATTAAAACATATTTACAAGGTTTTAAAATTCTCGCTTATCTCAAAGATCGAGTAAATGATGATCAATACCTACAGTTCGATTTAAGAGATGCATTCAATGAAGTGTGTGCACATTCAAAGAATACTATTGCAACATATGATAAATTGGTACATAATCATTATGAAGCCCAAGTCTGGCAATGGTTCTATGAACTAGGTAAACATAAAGATCATTGGGCTAAAGAAGTAGTTGACATTGCGCATACACGGGAGGCTAAAACGAATGTGGCATTATGTGAAAAGTAAATTTCACAATTTATCTCAGCATGTTTCGATGCTAATAATACCATTACACGTAACATGAGAGGATTATCAGCCACTGTTATTGCTAATAGAGCACATGATCTTATGCTGGATTATATTAAAGGAGCTACACAAGGTTTATCAAAGATGAGCATCAATAGAATTCGTTGTGCTTCTATTGAAAAAGGTGAATGGGTTGCTCTTGAAGCATTTGAAAATGTTGCATCAGAGCAACAAAATATCTATGCAAAAACCTTCTGTAAATCAGCATTGAAGATCTATCTAAAGAAAAAGAAAAATTTTGATTTAGTTGCTGCACATATATCATATGATATAATACCGAAAATCTTACCACAATGTGATGTTTTTAACCTTCCAATGGATGAAAATTCACTTTCTAGTGAACAAGTCCATAAGAATAAAGAAAACATGCATAAATTGTCAAGAGATTTTCGTCTTAAAGCAACAGAACTCTATTTGAAAATCGTTCAGGAAGAATTTGAATTTCAAAAAGAAAGATTAGAAAAACTTCTTGGAGATTTTCCACAAGATAGTAATGAAGTACCATTAACACAAACTGCTGATGATGAAGAACCTTTTGATGATGATGAGGAAAATCGTAATAATAAGAACGATGACGAAATAGAAGTATAAACTCAGAAACCACCACGTACATCACGACGTAAAAGGTTAGTCCATCAAAATGGTTCACAATTATATAGTAAATATATAGAAATTGCACTAAAAAGAGCTCCTTTGAAAACTGAAAGAGAAGTGCATTTTTTAGGCAAGCGCAGCTTCAAAGAGACGCCCTTCATAATAAAAGAAGCACGAGATCTAAATTCAGTATTACGAAAGGATTTCGTGCTCCAAGCATAATTAGGGTGTGGGTGTGGGTGTGGGTGTGGGTGT